AAAAAGAAGCCAATCAAACGGGGCCTTAGAAATGCAGATGGCTAAGTTTATGTTATTTTTCATGGCAGATTTTCAGTTTCTTGAAAAAATAAACGACATTTTTGAGAAGAGGTCCTTGAAACCAATAAGTTGATTATGCTAGTTACATGAGGATTGTTCTTATGAATTTGCTTAGGTTGTGACATAGACTACAGTATTTGATTTGGATTTTAAATTATAACTCAGTAGAGAAATGCATTGTTTGTTGAATTTATTCTATTCTTTCCATGACATGGATTGAAATTTTTGAATATTTCAGTGGTACTCTCAGGAAATACCTGAAGAATGACTGCTAACTGATTAATCAGTTACTCTGTCATGTTTGAAATGAAGCTTATGCCCTTCTATGACATTCATTTTTTCTCATTCTCTTTCTCATTTTTTTTTCTCTTTCTTCATGTCAACCACACATTCTATCAATAAAATAATATTACACATAAACCAAAAAATTCTCGTTACTTTTTAACCATACATTCTTCCATCAATCTCTATTTCAAATCAAATTCTTCTTCAAAATGGGTGTCAAACATAATAAATGAGTACACAGGGACGGGTTAAGTTCGCCATGGACATGTTGACACAAGGTTTTTAAAATAAAAAATAAAAAATGTAGGATACATATGCAAGGTTAGCTATTTTAAGTCCATCGTTTAAAGATTTTTCATTTCAGAATTTGCATCATATAGTTGATTGTAAATTCTTTTAAATAATACCGAGAATCTATTCAAAAGTATAACTCGAACATAAGCCAAAATAGGAGGCATCAACGAAATGAATTTATTAAATCGACATTTTTTAATTCATTATTGTGACCTCATCGTTTAGCGATTTTATAAATTGAAAGATATATTATAAAATACGTTGTGAGTACTTCAAAAAAAAAAAAACTATCAAGAAGATTTCCTAATATTCAAGAATTATAATCCAAAATTAACTTTAAACTGTCTTGGTAAAATGGAATGCAAATTTTCTTTTTATGTTGGGGGTTGGAGGCGGGGTGGTTTGGCTGGACTCACCCTGCCACTATTTAAACAAAATTTATGGCATATCACTCAGTCCACCTCTTCATATTAGCAAAAAAGTTGACACAATGCCCCCTAACGGTTGCTTATTTTGTAGAATATCTCTCCAACCTTTCATTTTGGTGCAAAATTTCCCTAAATCATCCTAACATAGCGAAATATCCCCCTCACCTATATCTGATAAGATGAGCGTTAAAAACATAAAAAAAAATCAAAATTAATAAGATCTCTAAGGCTATTTCAGACATCAGTCCCTTCAAATCTAAGGTTCCACATGTTTAGAACCCGAACGGAGAGAAAAATAAAAAGATGATTATGGCATAAAAGCCCCAAGAATCGACCAAAAAATTCAAAAGCAACAATCACTTTTCACAATTTTGTTCACTGAAGAAGTATCCGCATGTCATTTTGTTATATTATGCTCTTGTGCAGGGGCGAATCCAAAACTTTTGTTCA